CCAAGCCGCCCCGTCCGCCCAGTCCCCAGCTGCCACCCAGCGAGGGCTTCAGCATCAAGTCTCTGCTGGGGGGCGCCGGAGAGGGAGCGCCCCGAAGCAGCCAAGGCGGAGCGGGTGCCCTTCCAAGTAAGGAGGAGGTGGTGCCCACACCACCCGTGCCCTCCGAGCGGCCGCTGTGGCCCCTCTGCCCCCTCCCAGGGATCATGAGGCCGGAGGGGGAGACTACCCAGGGGAGAGCTAGCAGGCCTTCACCCCTCTGCCCTGAGCCCAGGGCCTGGCCCCTCCACTTGCTGCAGGGTACCTCCGACCCTGGGGGTCACAGGGCTTCACTTTGGGGGCAGCTCCCCACCTCCTACTTGCCCATCTATACCCCCAATGTGGTAGTGCCCTTGGCACCACTACCACCCACCTCCTGTCCGCAGTGCCCGCCCTCATCCAGCCCAGCCTACTGGGGTGTGGCCCCTGAAACCCACAGCCCCCCAGGGCTGCTCTGGGATCTAGATGCCCTATTCCAGGGGGTGCCACCCAACAAGAGCATCTATGATGTGTGGGTGAGCCACCCCGGAGAACTGGCCGCCCCCACCCCGGGCTGGCTGCTCTCCTGGTACAGCCTGTGAGCTCCAGGGCAGGGGCTGCCAACCCCCCCCCCACCCCCGCTGCCACTGGCTTGTTGAGGGGACCAAAGGCCAACGGGAGTCAGAAGTGTGGCCACAGTGGCCTGGAAACACCAGGCACCAGCCACTGAGAGTCTACCATGTTTATTGGGCCCCCCCACAAAGGGTGTGTCAACCCGGCCCTGATGGTCAGGCCCCTGCTACCCCCAGCGGCAAGGCTGGGAGGAGTGGCACTGCCGGAGTGGCCTTTCCTGTCCCCTTCCTAGTCCCACCTTCTCTGGCCTCTTCTGTCCGTCCATCCATCCATCCATCCATCACCATCTGCCACCTCCCTCTCCTGGCTCCGGGGTTGGGGGAGGGAGGACTTATATGGCAGCTCAGCCTGAAGCCCTCTCCTTCCTCAACTGTCTGGGCCGAAGGTGGCACCTTTTTGGGGAAAGGCATAAGGGAACAGGAACCCGACCTAGTGTGGGTGGTGTCGTGGGAGAGAGAACAGTAAAGGAATGGACCACATTTTCATGGCAAGACTGATGTTTGGTGCGGGGCAGTGATTGTGGTGACTCGGAAACCAGGAGGCCAGGCCCGGCTGCTCTGGGGTCCCCCGCTGCGACGGCGATAGCAGCAAATGGCGATAAGGAGGGAGCCGGGGCCTGGCCTGGCTGAGGGCGGGCAATCTGACTGGGGCGGAACACTCCGCGCCGGGAGGGGGTGAGACCGCTCTGGGAGTTTGGGAACCAGTGAGCCCCCAGAGGTCAAAGGTGGTAGGAGTGTCGGGGTTTTGCCGCCTCCGCCGGCAGAGGGCGCAACCCCAGACTCCTGGCCCTGACTACGAGAGCAGGTCCTAGGGGGACCCGGGAGCCGAGCCGTCGGGGCCAGGGCTGGCAGGGCTTCCCGGGGACGGCGTCGGGGTGCAGAGGGTCCCGGTGAGCGGCGTGTCCGTGC